AAATAAATAAATAAATAAATAAATAAATTAAATAAATAAATAAATAAATAAATAAATAATGTGGACAATAATATACTCAGATTTTCCAGATGAAAAAGAAGATGCCATATTTATAGGAGCATAAAGAATCATCAGCAAAAACACAACTGAAATCTTTGAGCTAAATTAGGAAAAGGAACATTTCTAAATCTTGATGGTGGGTTAGAAGTTCCTCTAAATATTAAATATCTCCTGGCAAATGTTTTGGATGTTGTTCAGTTGAATTAAGCTGGATTTACTTTTGTATAGAGATCCACAATATTCACAATATTGTTCAATTTTATAGTTACTAGGGATTTATCTGTGATCTCTCTATCTCTTCTTTGTTTTTCCAGGAAAACTAAATCAGAGATTGGCATAAAGAATATAGGACCATGTTCTAAGGTTTGTTCTGCTCATTCTATACTGACTGACTCCAGAACAGTTTATAGTAATTTAGAATGTAGTATGTTCCCATTTACTGCAGTCATAAAGCTAGAGATAACAAGAGTCAGTGATTAGGTTGGTGGCATGATATATAGCTAATGATTCTTGTTTAATTTTATATCATTTCTATATCCCTCATGTGCCAGGCATTTTCTTATTTTTATTGTTTTTAATACCCATCCTTCTGAAGTGACGCACACGTGTTGACCTTGGGATGTTTAGTAATATAACTCAATACTACAATTCTCTTCACAGATGTAGGAGCATTCAGGTTGACAGCAGGCATCGAAAGAAAAGTGTCAATGGTAAATCATCATCATCATCACCATGATGATGATGATGATGATGATGATGCCATTAACAGCTGGACAATTCCAGTCATTAGATATACAGCTGGAAGAATGGACTGGTCTCAAGGTGAACTAAAAGCCCTGGATAGGAAGACCAGAAAAATAATGACAATGAATCATGCCCTTCATTCGCACAGCAATGTTGACAGACTCTATTTACCAAGGAGGATTACTGGGCATGGAATGTTGCAAGTACACCAGACAGTTGAAGAAGAAAAATGGGCATTGGAAGAATATCTGAAGGACAGTGAAAAAGATGCACTGAAGCTAGTACACCATGAAGGCTTACTGAATCCCAAAGAAACCAAACTGGCCTTCAAGAAAGACCAAATGAAGAATAGAAAAGAGACATGACAAGGCAAAGTATTACATGACCAGTACACAAAAAACTAGCAGGCAAAGCAGATAACAACAAGACTTGGCAATGGCTAAGAGCAGGAAAGTTGAAAAAAGGGTCAGAGGGGCTAATTCTGGCTGCGCAAGTCCAAGCCTTAAGAACAAATGCATATAAAGCCAGAACTGAGAAGACAGCAACAGACAGCAAATGCTGCCTCTGCAAAGAAGGTGAAGGAACAGCAGACCACCTAGTTAGCTGCTGCAAGAAGATCACGCAGACTGACTACAAACAATGGCATGACAAAGTAGCAACAAAAGTGCATTGGAATATCTGCAAGAAATACCATTGGCCTGTAAGCAAGAACTGGTGGGACCA